ATTCACTGCATACTACACAACAACTTGCTCTTTAAACATTCATACAAAAATTTTAGCTTGTTACAAAAGAACCATGTTAGAAAATAAACTAAAAGAGAAATTTATATTTTTAAGCTTCCAATTCCATTGTACCTTCTGTATACAGGTATCACTCCTATAACACGGTTAATTGGTTCCGTGTTATATCGAAACCGTGGTATACGAGGTTTTTAAAAAGATAACAAATTATGTACATAATATTGTTAGGTACAATAAATAACGTAATTACATCAATTCAAGAAAATTTTTTTGCCCGTGTAATATCGAGACCGTGTTATATAAAAACCGTGTTGTATCGAAACCGTGTTAAACGAGACTGTAAAACTAATGTATTTTCCGTGTAATATCGAAAACATGCTCCGTGTTATATCGAGAGGTAAATTTTAGAAAATCTGAAATTTCATAAAAAAATTAATGAAAAACTTATTAACTTTATTTTTTTAATATAAATAAATAATAAATTCAATCATAAGTAATAACGAACAAAAATAAAAATATAAATTCATAATGTATAAATCGTAATGAAACAATTTCATTAGATTAATTTGAATCATCGCTGTCATCAAAAATGACCCGTGACTTAGTATTAATTTTTTTCATATTTGCTTGAAAATCCTCGTCACTAGTTATTTCTTCATCAGATGAAGCAGCTACAAAATCAGATTGCAACTGGGCCAAAACTTCTCTATAAGGACCCAAGCAACTTCTGAGATCTCTTTTAAATTTTCCGCAACGAACTGCTGAAGAATCTTTGTCAACGAAATGATTCTCTAAGTCATTAGCTAACGCTATACCTTTTTGCACGTCAGCTAAACTTAATTTAGGAGCGATAAAGCTAAAGTTTTCGTTTTGATCAAAATTGGATATATTCAATAATGTATGTTTAAGTATTTGTTATTATTTTTAGGGGAAATCCCATTTTTGTTGTGTTGAATATCAAAATTTAAAAAAAAATTTCCGTGTAATATCGAAAATCGTGTTAAAAAAGTCGCAAATTTTATACCGTGTAATATCGAAAACGTGTTATACAAGTGCCGTGTTATACGAGGGATACCTGTATTATTATTTTATAAATAACATTATCAGTTTGAAATTTGAAGAGAAACAAAATAAAGGAAACAAAGAAGAGGAAGAGAAAAAAGTTAGAAAACAATGAAAATTCAATTTGAGAAACTTATTCAGTTCGTTTTCTATATTAAATTTTGATTTTCAAAATAACAAAATTTGTATTTTTTTTTTGTGTTATATTTTAAGTTTTGTATATCACAGCTACCAACAAACCAGGATATCTTTGCTAAAAAAAACAGAAAATAACAAAGTAAATACGTAGGTATTGTGTTTTCATCCAAGGTAGGTAAGTAAGTTGTATCCATAGAAAGAGAAAGAGAGGGAAAATAACTTGTAATGAGTATAATTTTGCATAATATGGTAGAAAAAACGGAACGTAAATGTAAAAATTTTCAATAACGCTCAATAAAAAGAAAACTTTGCTTTCTTCCGAAAAGCAACAAGGAAAAAAAAAATAAAACATTGAAATAAAAAAAAAACAACTGGTCCCAGAATAACCTTCAACCTTCATGATTATTTTATAAATACGAAAAAAAAAACCAAGCAAATCAAAAAAAAAAATGAAACAAATTGTTTTTTATTGTTGATTATTGGTTGTTTTCGGAGAGCAGTGAGAGTATGATAATGGTAAAGAATGGTAGTAAGAGTATTATTAGTAGCACTAATAAACATTGCAAAATGTACAAGTAACATAAAGGTGTGTTATCCCCTAATAAAATGTTAAAAATGAAAAAATAAACAAATAGAAAAAAAACTTTTTAAAATTGCTTTTTTGTTTTTTTTTTAAATAAAAAGTTTTTGTGTTAAAATTGCTCTTTTTGTTTGTTTTTTTTTTGTGAATTACCAACAAGTTGATCCCTTAAGTGCAAGAAAATGCGTAATAAGATTTTTTTTTTATTTTATTGTAAGTACTGTAAGTAAGGTAAACTCAATTTTGCTTTTTTTCAAAATGAATTTTAAAATCTCCAAAAAAAAAAAACCTAGTTTAGTTTCTGACTTTTGTAAATTGTTGTTAATTGACGATGATGTATGGTTTAAAAAAAAATAAACAAAAATCAAAGTTATTAGTATTTTAACTTTCTATTTGACGAATCTATTGATTAGATATTTCAAACATTTCAATTAGACCAGGAATGAACAAGACTTGAATAAGATCCGAATCAAAATTTTGTCTCTGAAATGTAAATCAGTGTTCACTGGAGATTTAGTTGTGTCATATATAAGTATACACTATCGATACCAAGTATTATTAAATTAACAATAATAATTAATGCATCCTTGTTTTGATATCTGATGTGTCATTCAAAGGTTTAGTTTCTATCATTATTGTAATGTAAGCGTATTGCTACTGCCTTTTAAAAATTCTAATTTGTAGTGATAAATTGAAAGTACAAAATATTTTTTTTTTAAATTCCGACTCTTATGTCACATTACACAATGAATCTAAATTTAACATTATTGTAATATATCAGTTATTTATAAATATTAATTATATAATTATGTATCCTTTTCGAATATAAAACCAATAATTTTCAATTTAAATTGATTTTGAAAACAAAAAACTTTCGATTTACTTTTCCTTTACTTTATAACATTATTTCTCTTAACGACTTCCGGGAATTTAACTATTTTCCAAAGTGGTTGTCAAAATACAATGCAAAAGGATAATAATACAAATACTTAACAAGAATTTGTTTAAAAAAAAAAAAACAAATCCTTATTTTCTGTATATGTACATACTGTATAATAAGTATAACATAATTTCAAATTTAAATTTTATATTATTTTAAGATATAAAACGCCCGGAAAACAGTAAAAATAATAATATAGGAATGTAAAATAAAACAAAAAAGAGCTATTCAATAAATTACTTTTGAAAAATTGTTAAAAAGCTTTATCCCCAAAATATAACCTACTTATGCACAAAACATTGTAAGTTTATTTATGACGTATAATAAAAAAAATGTAAAATAAAAATCGAGCAAAATATAATGTGTATAAAATAAACAGGATGATCATATTTAAGAAATTTTTTAAAAATCCTTATATGATTTTTTTTCTTTCTCTCTCTAAATCAAGATTTTATTTAAAACCCCAAGTAAATTTACCATTTCGTTTATAACACTCATCACGTGAAAATAGCATTGTTCCAATTATTATTTAAAATTGAAGTAATTAAAGTATAGTAGGAAAGAATAGAATTAATTTAGAATATACTCAATTTTTAGTGAAACTTAAGTTTCGAATACATTAAAATTATCACAATTGGAATATTTTCATAACTAACAAACTATCATCCTGTGAAACACTACAGTTAATCACGCTTCTTTTTTAGTATAATTAGATTTAAGAAAATCCAGTTCTTAAAATTAGATCAGCAAATGATTATCAGTTCAGAACTTTGTAATGCTAGTTTAAGAGTGATACCTTCGAAAACCAACAAATTGAAGAGTGTAAAAAACTTTTACTTTAATTAACAAATATTACCACATGATCAATATGTTACATATGCATTGTATGTTACGTATACAGCAGCATATTTATGTGCATTTCAAATTTTAGTATTTAATTAATTGCTAAACTCACACAAATAACTAAATATGATAGTGCTTGAGAAAAAAAAATTTAAGAAAAAAACTTTGATATATTCCCCCTTTTACCTATATTAAAAAATCCTGTATGGATAATAACAGTTAACAAATTAAACTAACCAAAGTTCTTTATATTGTACAGAAAAACCACCGCATTTCATTTTTGAGCCCGCAAAGTTTTTTAAATTAACTTTATACTTTTTCATTCTCTTATTTTATAAACCATATATATACGAGTATATAGCAAAATATAAAGCAAATCAAAATGCATGTAAATATAGAGGGTTTTAATGTATGGCAAGGGTATAATTTATTTGGATGTTTTGAAATTTATTAAAGGAACCGAAAAAAAAAATGTTAACAGTATAACGAATTGGAAAATGAAAAACAAAAAATAAAGAAAAATAAAATTAAAAAAAAATAGTTAACATTTTTATATAATTGAAATCATCTTAATTCATAGCACCAGGGTAAAAAGGAAATACGACACTAAATTATATACCATATAATAATATGATTTCTGGGAGTGTCATTGAAAATTAAGTATACCAATTAAATATTCAAAACATGTAAAGTTCATTTAATTAATTTATATTTTATTTGATTTGATTTTATTATACATTTTACTATACCTACATATATGCCATATAGCACATACATATATTATAACGTGTAAATGTAGAAAAGTTTTTTCATTTAAACGATAAATGACTTTGAGTATAATACTATAAGAGTAAGGATATTTTGTTTTAATATATAATATGTGTACGATTAATATATTTTATACATGGATGTGTCCTATTAACATTCCTGCACTATATGTTAAATAAGTTTTAAGTATATTATGTACTCGGAATGAGAATAATTTGAATTTTAATCAAGAAGTCGTTTACAGAATCCTTGATTTTATATATATACACGATAATAAAATAACTTACGTACTTACTTAGGTATTTAAATTATAAATTCATGTCCCATTTTTTATATTTCGGTAAATATTTGACATATTTATGTAGTTTAAAACATAAATCAAAAATTTTCCTTAATTCCTTAATTTAATTAATTACGATAATATGGTAAATATTATATATATAAAATAAAAATTATATAGAACTGAAATGTTATTAGATCTAAAACTGAATTGTAATTAGCATCAACTTATGCTTATATGATATTCAATTTTTGAGATTTTTCAAATTTTTAATAAAATTATTTTTATAAATTTCAGATTATGTGTACTGCCATAAAAAGAAAACTAAAAAATTATAAAGAAAAATTTTTTTTTATTTTAAGATTAAAAAAATGGAAGAATTAAGAGCTGACGTAAGTATATGGTTCAGAAATAAAATTTATATAAAAAAAATCTGATGTGGTCAGCACATAACCGACCGCATTGTGTATTGTCTAGTTAAACGAAAGTGTTACAAAATATTATAAAAATGTCTGTTAAATACTTTTTTTCAATTTTTAGGACATTAGTAAGCTTATAGTTAACATACTTAGAAAAATGTAAATTTGGCTCTTAGTAGAGTTTCGCTTTGTGTTACCAGAATTCCCTGAAATGCTCGCCAGTTAGTTTCGGTAACAACCAGAACCCAAATGTCAAATTTCAAGAAATTCCATCAATTTGTTCTGTGGATATGGTGAAAAATGTAAAATCGGCCCGCAAATCAGTTCTCGAGCCCTGATCTTTCCAAAAAAGTTATATGTTCATTGCTTTAATATGAGGAATTCATATATTAAATTTCAATGAAATCGGTTGATTATTTCTCTTTATACACACAAAAGTGTATGTTTGGCCCGTAGTAAACGTTTAGTTGCCGATGCCTGATCTTTCCAAAAAATTTACATGTTCATTGTTTTAATACGGGGAATTCATATATTAAATTTAAATGAAATCGGTTTATTATTTCTCTTTATATACACAAAAATGTATATTTGGCCCGTAGTAAACGCCCAGTTGCTGATGCCTGATTTCTTCCAAAAGTTAGGAATTTTTGCGTATGATCGAGCAAAGCTTATATATGACATTTCAAGTAAATCGGTTGAATACTTTCTTCAAAATGGTGAAAAATGTAAATTCGGCCCGCAAATCCGTTTTCGAGCCCTGATCTTTCCAAAAAATTTATATGTTCATTGTTTTAATACGAGGAGCTCATATATTAAATTTAAATGAAATCGGTTGATTATTTCTCTTTATATACACAAAAATGTATATTTGGCCCGTAGTAAACGCCCAGTTGCTGATGCCTGATTTCTTCCAAAAGTTAGGAATTTTTGCGTATGATCGAGCAAAGCTTATATATGAAATTTCAAGTAAATCGGTTGAATACTTTCTTCAAAATGGTGAAAAATGTAAAATCGGCCCGCAAATCAGTTCTCGAGCCCTGATCTTTCCAAAACAGTTATATGTTCATTGCTTTAATATGAGGAATTCATATATTAAATTTCAATGAAATCGGTTGATTATTTCTCTTTATACACACAAAAGTGTATGTTTGGCCCGTAGTAAACGTTTAGTTGCCGATGCCTGATCTTTCCAAAAAATTTACATGTTCATTGTTTTAATACGGGGAATTCATATATTAAATTTAAATGAAATCGGTTGATTATTTCTCTTTATATACACAAAAATGTATATTTGGCCCGTAGTAAACGCCCAGTTGCTGATGCCTGATTTCTTCCAAAAGTTAGGAATTTTTGCGGACGGTCGAGCTGAGCTTATATATAAAATTTCAAGTAAATCGGTTGAATATTTTCTTCAAAATGTTCAAAAATGTAAAACAGGTCCGCTAAAAAGTGCAGTTCCCGAGGCCTGATATATACCAAGAGTTGATCGATCCGTGCCATGGTGGAAACAAACTTACATATAAAATTTCATCAAAATCGGTTCAGCCGAACTTGAGATACACGCGTGCACACACAGACCGACAGACGGACAGACCGACAGACCGACAGGTTGCTAAAAATAGTTTATTTATACTTCCCTACTATGGAGAAGTACGTTCCCACCGAAAACTCGATATGCAAAATTTGTTGCCATCACATAACCTACCTATTGTTTACACAATACGGTCGGTAATTAAGTTTGGTCAAACCAATGGTTTTATTGTAGCACTTTTCCTTTCAACAAGTGAAAATTCTGCTTTTAAATACAGTCTATGTATGCCTATCACACTATTAAAATTATTTTCATTCATATACAAAACTATTTCTAGGATTGCATATATTTAGGATGACGCATATATGTAGTGTTTGAAATAAAGCAAAAATTAATATAAAAAGGGGTTAACATAACGCTCGATTTTAAGGGTTAATTGTGTGAGTTAAGAAAAATAATTATATTTTTTAATTTCATGGAATTTACCGTTAACTTTTTGCGTTTATAAAAATTTGGAAAACCTTGCGGTTTCGGAAATATAAGGTGTCAAAAATTCAAATTTTACGAATTTCAAGAGGTGATAACTTGAGAGGGGGTGGAGATGGAAAAAAATTTTCTTCAAGCGAAATAAACTATTTGTTAATGTCTAAAAGCTCCTAAAATTTCAAGCTTCTACAGGCTGGGGTCTAGAAGAAAAACGACATCAAAAATTTGGAAAAAAAGGACTTTAGATAACGGTAAATTTGTACGGCCATTTTGTTTTTCTAAAGTTTAACTATAGTATATCGCGCTAGGGGAAGCAAGCTACCGCCTTTCTGCGTTTGCAAAATTTCAAAAATGGTTATGGTTTCATTGCAAAAAATATTTAAAAAAGGCCATTTTTAGGGTTTTGGGGGGGTATAACTTCTAGAGGGGGGGAGATAGGTAAAAATTTTGTTCTACGGAAATAAGTTTCTAGTAAAGATCTATGTACGTATTAAATTTCAGCTTTCTATCTTCAAGGGTGTAGAAGTTTTGTAAACAAAAAAAGTGTCCACGGACGGACGGACGGACGAACAGAGTGAAAAAAAATTTTGGAAAAGTGCTAAAAAATGATGTTAAAATAACAGATTGAATAAAATTTTTGAGGTTTACTTGAAATTAATTTCAATTTATTCAGAAATATTCACTCAACAATCAGAATAATTACTGATTTTAAATAGCCCTTACAACATGTCTTTTTGGAGGTTTGAACTTTTTTTCAAATTGTGCAGGTAAAAATAAATATAGCAAGTTCAACCAATTATTATTATACAAGACTTAAATGAGCGGATTTTCGGAAGCTGGTAGATAAAAGTTATCTTTAATTTGACATTGAATTTGTGAGATGAGCGTGGTTGTATATATACAGAGTTATTTGATATAAAGAGTTTTTCAATATAAATACTACCATTTAAAACATTCCAAATGGATAAAATATTTTCCTTAGAAACAATTGTTAAATCTAAATTTATTTAAGAAAATTTCAAAAATATTTTTTTACTTGTGGAAAGATAAAAATTTAAAGTTAAGCAGATGCTATTTGAATTTTGTTTAACCACCAAATGCAAGTTATAAAATTCACCTTTTATACTTCTTGTTTTCAACTTGACAAAAATATTAAAATTTCTAAAATTTTAATGATTATCAAAAAAAACAAAAATTTATATATTGAGAAGAGAAAAAAATTTTTCTAGAGAAAAAATTTATTTTATTTACTCCATGAATTTGAGAAGGTATAATACACAGCAAAGCATGTATATCCTGATTACATCTCGTATACTGATATTAAAATATGGTAGCGAGTACGATTGCTAAAACCGAAACAACGTCCTGTAAATCATATTAAATATAGATTAAGATGCTCTTTTATTTTGATTCGTAGATGTATATGCGAATTCAGAATTAGTTGGTAATTATTAGTAGATATTTTGTTAATTGAGTATCAAGAATACCGCAAATTAAATTAAGGTATAAAAATATTCAAAGATCTCTATTCATTTTTATATAAAATATTATTTATTAATTAATAATTTTAAGTTCTTTTTTAACTACGAATACATTAAAGTAGAAAATTAAATTAAATACATCAAAAATGCTATTCTACATAATATAGCTATTTAACGTATACGTATGTGTGTATGCAAAGAAAATTTCTTGCTTTCAAATTTATTAAAAATCTTTTATGGAAAAGAAACTTCCGATAGAATTTGAAATACTCGAATATTAAGCAAACAATTCTAAACAATTTCTTTTTAATAATTATTTCTTTCATTTTTGCATATAGACTCAATAAAGTACACACAACTTGTGTAGGCTTTAATTTGGTAAAAGAACAATTTTATTATTATCAAAGTAGCATAAATTGCTTTTTATATATAGTATAATTAATCTAATAAAGATTATGAAACGAAAAATTAAAGAAAAGTTTTTTTTTTTTATTTTATGTACATATAGTTACCTCTATACATTTTAAATAATAAAGAACTGATTCGAGCAAAATTATATTAAAATTTATATGTAAATAAGAATTTAAAAGATGTAAATTTGTTTTACTTTAAATTAGTTTAATTAATTTTAATCAACAGACTGGAATTAATTTTTGTCTAGTCATTATTCACTATACATACATAATTTGCACATATACTCATACTTATATTAATAAATTTAATTAAAAGCCTAGAGTATTGAACGAAAAGTCATCTTAAATTTTTTTATATACGCAAACATATAGATGATATACATATATCATGTTACAAACAGGGTATTGAAAAAAAAATTCAACTATATTTCCAAAAATAAAATTTACTTATATTAAAAGATTTCAAAATGTAAATAATATGGTTTAAATGATAAGAATTTAATCCTTTTTTTTATAAATTTGGAAAAATTTATGATTAAATTATTCGAAAATAGTTGACAAAATATTTTTCATCAAGTATTTTTAATAATAAATTTTTACTGAAAAATTTCCATCAAAAATTTAACTAACAATGATTATATTAATAAAAAATTTTTAAAATAATTGAAAATTAAAATTTGTAAAATTTTAAATACTTATTAATATAAAAAAAAAATTAAAAAAATTTCAAAAAAAAAAATCTTTTTTCCACAATAAACTCATTTGAATGCCTGACCGCATAATAACCAATTGAATTTTTAAAATAAAAAAAAACAAAAGAAAGGATAATATTAATTCCCTCACTGGTTAACTATATTCAAATATACTCATATGCATACTTACAGGCGCACAAAATAAATAATGTACGATAATTTCCATTGGAATATTGAAAAATAGTATGGTAATAATGGTAGCAATAATAAGTCAAATTATAATGGCATAAAATATAATGAATTGTTCCCAATGTGAGAGAAAGAGGAAAACTTTTTTTATTTTCAGTTTTCCCTTTTTAATACGCGTTCG